GCCTCTGAGTGGATGGTTTAAAAGCCCAGGTAGCAATGTGCTCACAATTCAGATTTTGCTTAACTACTTCGGTACAAGAAAAGTTAGCAGAATATAAAAAATTAATTTTGATGAAGTTCTGCATAAGCTTTCTGCAATTACCAAATAAAGCACCTCTACAGCTTCTGCCTGACAACTGAACCAAGGTCATTATCAATTTGCTCTTGATATAAGAAAGCGATTTTCCATGTACTTACATCTGCTCTCAGAAGGAAGAGAAAATGGTTTGTGAAGTTCCCATTAGCATACAAAAGCAGCAACATCTGCTGGGAGTTTTAAGAGGCTTATTGCTGTCACTTAATCAGCACCACAGGCTACAGTTGGCCACCTCTGCCCTTGTCAGCACTCCAGGTATGGTTTCAAGAGATGAGGGGACAATATGACCACACAACAGTTCCTGCAAGACTTCTGTATCTATAAAAAAACGTTCTGCTCTTACTTAGCTGAGGATAGGTAATCCACCTATGCTGATTCCTCCTTGCATAAACCTGTAAATAGTATCGTAGCTGAAGCCATTAATCCTTTCGTACGATACGTGACTTAAGTGAAGTGGCATTTTAACAAGCGAGATACAAAACGTAACGGTGAGTTCACTTCAATGTGCTGTAGCTGTAGCACCATCTAGAGGATTTGAGCTAGAAATTCCTCACACAATGGGCAAAAAACCTGGGAAACTGCTCTCAAAAGTTGTGAAAAAAATCTTTACACAAAAAAATTTTGAGCAAATTTTCATTCTAACATTTATCTACAGAGTAACTTAAATTGACTCATACATGCCTACATGACACACAGTTTTTCTTAAATACTTTCTCAGTTTATGATATTTGGATTCACAGAGGTAACAGAAGATTAGAACAAATAAAACTTCGACAGTCAGATTGGGAAAGACCTTCATCTCATCCACTCTAGGTCACATGCTTGCTACAAGACCTTTTTCACGTGGAGGAAGGCAGAACCTTCCTTACAGTTTTGTTCATAACCTTGCAAGGATGGCTAACTTCATTCTGTTTTCCTTAATTTTCACCTTTTTATTAAGAGACTTCCTTTAAAACCAAAGCCAAATTTCAATCAGGGAAAGGGAAGAGGTTTTTATTTGAACAATAGCAGCTATTATGTATTTTATTATATTTCACACATAGAAAGAGGTGCTGACAACAACCGATTGCTCACTGCAGAACTATTAAAAGAGGAAGAGATGGACAGGTACAGCCCTGGAGGCCTATTGATTATTTTTTCCATCCACAGACACCCCAAACCTCACTTTGACTACTTTCCACTTGGCACACTCTCCCCTATAACTTAACTCTGCTACTGCCACAAAAGAACACTTTTGCTCCTGAAGCCTTCTGGGGATAGCAAAGTTCAATCCTTTGTTACTTCTACGAAACTCTGAGCCAGCTCCTCAGAGACTGAAAGACCAAGAATTAATTGAGAATATTCACATGTGATTGCTCCACAGAGTTTGTGGGCAATAAATCCAAGCTGTAGCTCCTGTTCATTGGTTGATGTGTGACTGACCAGCAGCATGATTTGTAGTGACACATCTGCATTAAAAATTCAAGCTTCTGTACACCTGAACACAATCTGTATTTCTCTCTCTCTCAGTATTGTGTCAAAATAATCATGTAATATCAAATAATCAGTCATTTATTTTAGATATTTGCAAGAGCTGTGTGCTAAGAATGGGCTCTAAACTTTCAGCTACTATGCCACGTTATCTGCTTCTACCAAATTTCCTTGGAGACTATTTGGCTAGAAATAAAAGCATAGAGGAAAAAACTGAAAGAACCAACTGTATGGTCAACAGCATCACTATTGGTCATGGATGAGTTCATGCCACTTTATAGGCCAACAAACTTCTGGAGATACGATAGCTCCCTTGCCCATGCTGTAGGGTAATAGCTGGCAGACCTTTACAGTTACTTGTAATCAAGATTACTGGTTATAAAAAGCAAAGTTCTTCCTGAATTGAATTGATTTTTGCTATTTCATAATGGCTGGCAGCAAATCAAGATTGTTTACAGCACTTCAGTGTAGCTCAAGTCCCTCAGTGCGCTTCACTCCCTCCCTCCCTCTTCCTGGGTCTCCAGGTTCAAGCAGCAAGGAAGCAATGAAATTCTCATGTACTTACCAGAAAAATCCTCTTCCTAGTTTCCACATGGAGAATTACATCTTCTGTCATAGCTTGGGGGGAAAAAAAAAAAATAGTTTTAAGTATTTTCCATCTTTCAGTTATTTTTTTTCCTCAATCTTAACTATAAATGCAGAAATTGGTTCAAAGACCAGAGTACAAGTGCAAGCACCTGAAGTTTAAGCTTCTCATCTGCTACTTTTACCACCAAATATTTAAACTTATTCACACAGATAAGCATTTGCAAGATTCCAGTCCTAGATTATGAGGAGTTTCTGGTTCTCAAGCAGTACCATTCTGTTCCTAATACTGCATTCACTACTGTATATCAAAAGAATAATAACGTTCCTTGGAATCTGAATTCTCAGTTAAATTTCACATAACCAAGAAAATATTTTTGTTTGTTGTTATGTGTCTAAGTCTGAGACAAAGCCTATCTGAGTGTCTATAAAAATCTGCTCAGTCTTTCACGCTGAGCATAAATAATGCTTCCAAGAATAATCCTGCATCATGCTAGCTGTCATTTTGGCTCCAGTTCAGTATTTTTTGCAAAGCTGAGCTGATATTTTTATTGGTTTTAAAAAGGCACGTAGGCTTCTTGCATCCATGAAGGAAAATAGTGGTCTTGAAAGAAGCCTTGAAAATTAAAAAATAGGAATAGGGCAGCAGAGTAAGTGGAAAAACTCCTCCTTTTCATTTTTCTAAATCCTTGGAATTGCCAGTCCAGTTACTGGGGGCAGGATCACCACTATTCCTTACAGTGTGTTATCCTACAGCGTGCTGACTTTAATTGGACTGTAATAGCAAGGATAACTCCTGTGACCAACACCGACAGTAGGACCAGGTTTATATTGTATCATCTATAAGTTTTCATTTAAGAGCATCTACCAACTGTATTAAAACAAAATTACCCAGCAGATGTTCCAGTCAGATTCAATAATCACGCACCAGTGCTTCCAATTGCTCAAAAAAAAAGAAGAAAAAATATCTGTAAGGATACCTCATTTCCAAAAATTCAGAACACCATACTTCTTACTGTAACAAAACTGCACAGGTGTATCAATGCAAATTTCACTGCTGGCTAAACTGTTCCCAGGTGAAACAATTCACACAGCTGATGCAGTCACTCGTATGGACCAGTAGCTGCTACAGGCATAGCATTCTTGATTGCCTTCCACAGCATGTCATAGGATGTTGGGCTAACTCCTAAAATAGTAGCTTTTGAAACAAATATACTAGTATTCCTGATAATTTCTTCCTTCCCTCATAAGCCAGATTTTCAATTCAGTTATACACTTAACTGAATACATAGCAACTTCAACACTTCTGATTTATGTTGGCCCCTGCCACTCTGAAACTTAATAAATGCCTAGAATAATATTGTTGCAATAGATAGGGCAATCCCACGCACTGAAGTTATTTTCTCTCCAACATAGGGATGTTAAATTATGTGCTGATATACTGTTGCAAGTTTCAAATGCAATTGGGTCCTTAAAGAGCTGCAGATTAATAACTAGCTTGTTAATTTGTTCTTAAGGCCTCTCTGTTTAAAAAAAGGGGGGGGCTGCTGACTTCCCAAAACACCAAACTTTGTAAACTTGCCAACTCTTCAGAGCAGAGCAGCTGAAAGTCACTCTAATGACAAGACCCCAGGAAACTTCATAAACAAGACAGAAGACTCAGTGAGACTAGCATCCTCCCCTTAAAAAGACATGTAAGAGTCTTTTGAACACGTCAGTATTATTTACTGTGTGCCTGGAGGAAGATGGCTCTTCAGAGGTCTTGCACATGAAGTTTGTTCCCCTACTACTTTGGTAAAGGAGAACAGAAACACGTGGGTAACTTATCTACACTACAGCATTGCAGAAGTGGCCTACATGAATTTGAAAAGTGTAATAAGCTATCGCAGGACAATGAAGATGATTTATCTATCTACTCACAGTGATCATAGCACAGCTAGACTGGAAAGCTTCTACTAGTGAAAAACAAGCTCTGCACACCCACACAATATGTAACACTTGTGGAAAAACAGAGAGCAGACCAGGCAACACTTACACATAGAGAAAAGAAAAATACTTATTTCTAACAACAGTAACTAAACTGTTATCTTTGGGATTTGGTCAGTATCAGCTTTAAAATAAACTAATAAAAAAAACCCCTCTACTACAACAATTAAGGCAACTTGCGTTCATTTCACCTCACCTACCAGCCAGAGTCCATCAACAGAGCTCAGCCACAAGCCTGTCCAAAGAAGAAGTTATACTAATGGCCGTAGGCCCCTTGAAAGCACTAATAAGCCCTCACCGCCCTGACTAGCCCCACCTGGGGCCTGCCCTCACGTCCTCTGGGCTCCGTTTAAGCCCAGGCCAGGACCCTTGCTGCCCCCTAGGCTACGCTGCAGGTACCCTTGTCCTCGGCCCTCTCAGGGTGTCTCTCCTAGCTGCCCCTCGGGTGAGTTGTGGGTCCCTGTACAGACCTCAGACCTACACTATGGCTGCCGGCCCCGGGTCACCGGGCGCAGCCCGCAGTGGGGCGGAGGCGGCACCGTCTCCTCAGGGGCCGAGCTCGG